GAACCGAGAACCAGTCTTCCTAATGGCTCAGGATCACAGGCGGGGCTGGTGTCCTGTTTCCAAATGGGGAGTGGGAAGGTGAGTGGTGAAGGGGTTCAGCGCCCTCCCTCTGTGGGCGTGGTGAGGGAGACGCCCCCATCCACCTTGCCCCGGGAAAGGCCAAGAAGGGCCAGGGAGGAAGAAGATGGCTGAGGCCTCTCGCTGAGTCGCAGGCCCTGAAACTCCAGCACTGAGAATATGCTCCTGGGAAAGGACGTGGTCATCTGCTGGGAACTGCACCAATAATGGAGGGAGGGCCAAGGATTCCTCACTGTGGGGAAGAAATGAGAATGCCTCACCTAGAAGTCTGAGTGGCAAAAGACTACATTCAAGACGAGATTGCTTCATGTGAGAACACAAAGCCCCGTCCCTCCCTAAGGCTTGCAGTGTGGGCGATGGAAAATCCAGCAGGCCTACCTCAAGCCCTGCCAGGGTTGGGGGGCCTTGTTCCCACTGGGAGAGCTGACCACTGCTGGGCTGAGAGGGGAGTGTTGGCCTAGATCCAGGTGTCAACCACAGGCTCACATGCAGGCCTGGGAGAGAACAGACCCATCTCCAGACAAGAAAGCAATCATGGGGCCTGTGGTGGCTGCTTTTTACTGAGGTCCTTCAGTGTTGGGACTTTTGAAGCAGACACTTTTCAGTGTTTAAGGAATAATCACTAACAGACATGAAAGGGGTTGAATTGCTACTAATTGCCTTTATAATTTATTAAACATCCTCTGAAACTAGACACTTTACATAAATCTAAGTAGATATTTTTGTATTAATAGGGGGAAAAAAGCCACCCTGAACCTTGTCTTGGTGCACTGGAACCACCATGTCTTCAAATTAGAGTTGTTTTTCCCCAACGTGGCTGGCCAGTGTCGCCGTGGACTGCGCTGGGGCCCCTGTAAGTGTGAGGCTTTTTTAGGTAGCTTGGGTTCCGAATGTCACAGGAATTGACATGTTAGACCTGAAGTAAAGGAGTTTGCATTGTATTTGCCAAGTCCACGTCTGACATGGTTTGGCTCTGTGTCCCTGCCCAAATCTCATGTTGAATTGTAATCCCCAGTGTTGGAGGAGGGGCCTGTGGGAGGTGACTGGATCATGGGGGTGGATTCCCCCCTTGCTGTTCTCGTGATAGTGAGTTCTCACGAGATCTGGGGGTCTGACAGTGTGTAGCACCTCCCCCTTCGCTCTCTCTCTCTCTCTCCCCCCACCCCCTGCTCTGGCCGTGTGAAGACTGTGCCTGCTTCCCCTTCACCTTCTTCTATGGAGTTGTAAGTTTCCTGAGGCCTCCTCAGAAGCAGAAGCCTGCACAGCTGGCAGAACCATGAGCTGATAAAACCTCTTTTCTTCATAAATTACCCAATCTCAGGTAGTTCTTTATAGCAATGCAAGAATGGACTAATACAATGTCTTTGAATGATTGAGCCCATTAATCAAAAGATAAATAAGGTCCATGTTTATTCTTCAATATAATACACATACATGATTGTTATACATCCTTATAAAGCAAAGAAAAACAGCCAAATGAAATTATGTTCAGAAATTTAAAATATACATGATAGACACAATCACCACGTTACGAATCCTTTTTTTAAATTTCTTATCAACACCAATAAACCTAGTCAGAAAGACTCACTGACATCCATCAGCTGAGACGACAGCAAAACACACATTAGGTAACATATGAACGCCCACACAGCAGCTGCTTTCTGCTCTTCTGAATGGGCAGCAGTGGTTGAGTTATAAGCCTTCATGGAAGGTGAAACTGCCCATAGAAAGACCACTTATACAAAGCACAGCCCACTAAAATGGCGCAAAAAGAAATATGGAACACTTCTAATTGAGAAACTGCAGACTCCAAGCTATGTAAGGAAGTCATCTTACTCTAGGAACCCAACATCTAATAAACCCAGCACCCACTTCCCTTTAGGACAGACAGATGGAAAGTTGCCTCCCGGTAAGAAAATTTCTTAATCTCAAAAAGGCTTTCAGGGAGCACGGTGACAGATAAGAAGACAAACTTGGATTCTAACTTAAGAAAAAGGAAAGAAGTAAAAAAATGTAAAAGAGAGTGCAGAAGCAAAGGCGAAGCTTTGCGGACATTGAGAAGAGGGCCGTGGTGATGCCACAGCACGCAGGGATGATAGGAAGGCCAGGGGACAGGAGGGAACCGAGTCCGAGGACCACAGCCCTCCGGGGGCCTGATGCTGCCTCTCACTTGTGCTTTTACAAGTGGATTTTCAACCAGGGTTCTGTCATTTGGCCCCCAGCACACACTAACCCAGCACACGCATGCACACTGGCACCCCGTGCTGGGTGGCTGGGGGAGGGGCAGAGGAAGCAGAAGGGACAAAAAAGGAATGAAATAAAGAGCAAATTGTGTTCCTAGTATCAAATCCATATTTTGATTCTTAAAAGAGAAAAAAATTGCTGAGCTAATTTCCACAAAATGGATAAAAATTAAGTATTCACACATCTTTCCAAACATACATCAAAGCAAGCCACAACAATGGCCACATGCCTACTTACATTTTTGAGGAAAGAAAGCAAATTAACATCGAGTTAGACAAAATAACTGAAAATAAACTTATGGCACTCAACAGACGTAAGTATTACCAGCTTCAACCTAGAAACTGTTTCCCCAAGTTAGCTCAGGTGAGTCTCTTCCACAGTTTCTAATGTAACAAATGGGGACATGTGCCCTCCTCACCGTGATTTTTAAATAGCAACAGATTCTGGGTAAGTGTTGGTGTCTTCCAAATTACCAATGTGGCATGCCTTCTCCTTAATAATTTGCGAGGTTTATTTCTCTCCAGGCAGTGGGAAGTGCCACATCGGTGCTTAATTTCCTCCATTTGCTACAGAAAGTGGGAACTGCCTAGTGAGTGAGCAAAGCCATAGCATCCATTAAGAGGGTGGAGGAGAAATACAGCCTCCCAAATCCTAATGACCTGCTGGAAAAATTGATCTCCATAGCCCTGGTCTAGTCAGACTCAGCTTTTCTACGTCCGTGCTCGCATCTGGCCTGATTCCTCGGCTTTGCAAAGCCCCCTTTTCCCATTAGAGCAGCAGTCTACCTAGTTACCAGCTCTCGCTGGAGCAGCCACACAAGGACATGGAGCAGGGGCGGGATGAACACTAGACTGATAATCTCCCATTTCAAGTAACTCTAGACTGTAATCATCAACTCTGCAATGCAAACTACCCTCAGCACTCATTTAAAAGGCCCCTGCTGGCATGGAGATGCCGTCCCGTTCCAAATGTGGGAATTTAACTACAGAATCAAACAAGATCCCTTTTCAAAGTAGAGTCTCCTTTCTAAACCTCAAAACAAAACAAAAATCACACCCGCTCACTGCAGGGTCATCCGTGGATTCACGTGGCGAAGAAATCATGCCTGTATTTGGCCTGAGCTGTCTCTTCCGTGTGTGGCAGGGTCTGGGGACAGTTTCTCTGCCAACGTGAGTCAGAAGGGAAGGTGGATGCAAACTGCATGTCGTGCAAAAGATCTCATGCTCGATTTGGTAGAGAATGCACACCACAGGACAGAAAACGCCCTGCCACGAGGGGCTTCAAATCAGACCCTGTGTCCTGTTTAGCACTTGAGTGAATGCCAGCTCTCTGTGGTCTAAGTATTAATGCATGCACTGGCTTGTATTTTTCCAGCCTCAATGAATAGCATCAGCTAAAGATAGCATAGTAATATAACACTCCAGTCACAGGGTTTTGTGTGTGTGTGTGTGTGTGTGTGTTTTAAGGAAACTAAATTAAACATTTGAAGCAAAGTCACATAACAGGAACATAAGAAACCAAACTTGGATGAATGCAAGGCCAAAGGAGAAAAAGAAATGCATCATAACATAAGAGCAAAGGCTAGAAAGGAGTCAGTTTTATAACTAGCACGACCACAAAATTTGCATGTGGCCTTCACCAAATCACACATTTCCTGCTATCTCTACTTCCTCCTTACCTTAAAGATGAGAGTAAGGATGTTGCATACATTCATGGCATGTGGTAAGGAAGGATTCTTTAGGTGGATCTGAGACATAATGGGGGAAGGCTGATGCAAAGTGAAATGGCCATCCCTGAAGAGGCTACCAAGTAATTCTTATACCTTTCATTGCTATTGTGACAACAGGAGCTTAGAAGGACAGATGGATAAAAACAAAGGCATTGGCTGGGCGCGGTGGCTCACGCCTGTAATCCCAGCACTTTGGGAGGCCGAGGCGGGCGGATCACAAGGTCAAGAGATTGAGACCATCCTGGCCAACATGGTGAAACCCCATGTCTACGAAAAACACAAAAATCAGCCACGCGTGCTGGCACGCGCCTGTAATCCCAGCTACTCGGGAGGCTGCAGGAGAATCGCTTGAACTGGGGAGGCGGAGGTTGCAGTGAACTGAGATGGCGCCACTGCACTCCAGCCTCGCGACAGAGCAAGACTCCGTCAAAACAAAAACAAACAAACAAAACACAAAGAATAAAGGCATTAACACAGCTGATTCAACGCAACAGTTATTTGGAAATGGAAAACGTGAGGAAAGTTCATGAAGCTGGGTGGTGAGCTTGGAGTTGAGCGGGTAATGGGAATTTTGTGGGGCTTTTCCTTGCCTCTTCCTCACGTGGAAACGACGCAGTCCTTTTGCTCTTTAAAGCCCAGTGCCTTTCTGGGCCCCATAACTGTCTACAGCAGGGCCATTTCCCTTCTAACATATCTGCCGTGAAATGGCACATGGGCTAGGCACAGGAACCTTCCAACTGGAACATTCCAACGTTCTCACGTCCAGCAGGTGAACTCGCAGAGTTGCCGTCACCTCTGGTGTCCGACTGCGATTTCTTTACTCCCACTGAGTCCCGTGAGACAGCAGGGCGAGAGACTGGACTTGGTCTTTGTCAATGTTTGTTTGTGTTTACCCAGAAGCTTGCAGGTTACTTCCCAAGTCACTTCAACATTGAAAGCTCAGTGCTGTCTTGCTCCAGGAGGTGCAGATCCGTCTCTTTTCGTTGACAACTGGGGCTTGAGGAAACCTCTTGTGACTGTTGACATTATTCCAAAGGTCAGAATTTCAACCAACCATAAACAGATACTTTTTGCATCACCTCTCAAAACCAATGTGTTTTGTGGGGATGAACTGTCAGTCAGAAGGGTGCAGGGAGTATAGATGTGAAAAACAGAATCAGCTACTTGGAAGAAAATGCGCTTTGAGGACAATTAAGAATAAATGAAAGACACAGTGGCTGATGCCTCTTGTTGGGGAATTCAAAGACGGCTTCTGTTCCAGCAAGCAAATTATTTATCCATTGTAGTCACGTGACCGTAGACCAAATCAAAATGGCAGAGTCTGAGAAACTAAGTCTTCAAGGGTGCATGGGAGCTAGAATTCTTTCTGGCCATCTAATTGCCCCTTCAAAAGGCATAGTCTAATGGCTAGAAGTAGCTTCCTCCCTCCAAATGCATCCTCCAGTTTTGAAATCTCCGGTACATCTCAAGTGTCATGGCTGTAGTCATCTGAGAAACAGCAGACACAATGCGCCCCCTACCCCAGTGACTAAGAGCAAAAAAAATTTTCTAGAAGTAAAAAATCTCAAGGTGGCAGGGAATATCTTCCCAACGTCACTACCACCGGGTGCAGGGATGTGTCTGCGCCCTGAGAGCAGACCGCAGCGCTGGGCGTCCTCTGAACGCGGCAGAGGCTCTCCAGTTCAAGTTCAAATTCAGGGTCGAGGGCTCCCCCTGCTAAGACTGCCAATCATCATAGGGGTCAAGGCATCAGAACTGCTGATTTTTCAAAAAATTTTCTCGTAGCAGCAGCAACCGCAGCAGTTTTCCTGCAAAGCAAACAAAATATGAATCTTGTTAATTCAGCAGGGCTTTTAAAATTATAATTAGTTGGTTGTGCCCCTTAGGAAAACCACAGATGATTTTTTTTAATAATGTATGTGTGTATGTGAGCGGGGAAAAAAAAGAAACCTCTTGATGGATGCCACCACTTACTAGAGTTGGGCTTTTTAATGTTCAGTTTGTGCAAGATATTTTTTTTTCTTTCCAACTTGTATTTTAGGTTCAAGGGGTACATGTGCAGGTTTGTTACATGGGTAAATTTGTGCAAGATATTTTAGGACTATTTGCAATATTGAAGGACAAGGCCTCTTTGTTTCACCTGAAGTACAGCCACTCCATCCATCTGGTCAGCTTGATCCCAGCATCAAAGTGAGAATGTGGCCTCAGGTGTGGGGACATTTCCATGGGCTTTATGACCACGTCTGACCTGGGGCCCGCACACGGCTACCTGCCATCATTCCTGTGGATCTGAGGAGTACCCTAAATTTATATCCCATAAGTTGGCAAAAGATACGACAGAGGTAACCAGAAACAAAATGCCACCAGGTTGATTTTGGGAATGTTTCCTCTGACAAATTGCAGGAGATGTATATGCCTCGGTTGACATTGTGAATTACGCCTTATTTATCGGCCTGGAACTTTTTCTTTTTCCACAGGAATAATCTTCAACCACCAGATTTTTAAAATCAATATTATCTCAAATTTGGTTTCCGTCATAATACATCCTGCCATAAACCCATCTCATCCTGACGGGGAATATTATTGTGAAGAATAATCTTTTTTTTTTTTCTATCTTCTCAAATGAGGCTGCTCCCAGAGTTAAAATCTTACATTAAGTTTTATTTATTTATTTATTTAAAGTAGGAAGGTAGGTGGGACATGGTGGCTCTTATTCCTGTAATCTCAGTGCTTTGGGAGACAGAGGCAGGAGGATCACTTGAGCTCAGGAGTTCAAGGCCAGCCTGGGCAACATAGTGAGACCCCACCTCTACAAAAAACTTAAAAATTAGCCAGGCATGGTGGTGCATGTCTTTTCTCACAGCTACTTGGGAGGCTGAGGTAGGAGGATCGCTTGAGTCCAGGAGTTTGAGGCTGCAGTGAGCTATGCTGACGACACTGCACCCCAGCCTAGGAAATATCCAGATTGTGTGTATCTGAAATGATTCTTCCTTGGCCTGTGGTGTGACTCAGGTGAATTTCTGAGGCCAAGGGGGCTGAAGAGTGCAGAAAAGGAAGGCAGCCGGCTCCATGACCGTCAGCAGGCTTCCTCAAGCAGTTCCAGCAGAGGCTGTGCCCAGCTGCCCCAGCGTGGCCAACCCAAATGTGCTGTCTTCGTCCTCTGCACGGCCATCACTTCATAGGCTGCTGTTGTCTTCCATCACACCGGGTTCGAAGCACCCATGTCTGTGTGGAAGGACTCTACCCCCTCCCATCACCATTTCCTCCTCATTCTTCCCCCGCCAGACCCTGGCAGCAGGCCCGCCTTGGAATGCAACCCTGTCACCCAGTGAATTCATTCCCATCAGGCCTCCAAAGTGGCTCCAGTCCTTATGGTGGGAAGGTGGTTTGTGGCAAACCCTCGGGGTTTGTGGTCGCTGGGGACAAAACTGCTTCTGGGGGAGAGGGTGAAGGCGGGGCGGGGAGAAGGAGCGGACACAGCCTGGTTGCCTGTGGATCCAGGCACTCACGGAGCAGGGCTGGGGCACCCCGCCGAGGGCCATAACCTAGGCCTGGGGGCACGAGGGTCCTTTCTTGCTCCAGGTTGTCCTCACAAGAAACAAAACTCTCTCCTACCTTATCGAGACTTTCATGTCCTTGCTGTTTTTGACAAAGAAGAATGGTCTTTGTAAATAGAAGGCACAAGCCTTCCTGTTCACTTTTTGTGGATTTCTAAATAAGTGACAGGGGCATATGTAAGCTTCCTTTCCTCCGAAGGCTAAGTGTTTTCCTAGTACTGATGTGTGGCCTTTACTATGAGGTACTGATTCATTTCTACCCCATCTTATTCTACAAAAATTCAAGGCAGCTTACAAGAAAATGTACAATCAAAAAGGTTTGATATTTTTGCCTGGGTAGAAACCTCAGGCCCGGAAACAGACCTATCAGAAGAAAGGATGAAGACCAGGCCAGGCCCCATGGCTCACCCTGTAATCCCAGCACTCTGGGAAGGCGGAGGCGGGCGGATCACCTAAGGTCAGGAGTTTGAGACCGGCCTGGCTAACATGGTGAAACTCCGTCTCTACTAAAAATACAAAACTTAGCCAGGCATGGTGGCAGGTGCCTGTAATCCCAGCTACTCAGGATGCTGAGGCAGGAGAATCGCTGGAACCTGGGAGGTGGGGGTTGCAGTGAGCCAAGATAGCACCATTGCACTCCAGCCTGGGTGACAGAGCAAGACTCCATCTCAAAAAACAAACAAACAACAACAACAAAAAAACACAGTGAGCAGCAAGAACTCACTCACAAGTCATCAACCCTGTGCAGTTCCATGCATGGAGCTGAGAAAATGGCTGTGGACTCCCCGCCCAAGATTAGGGAGCTGACTCACTGCAGGGTCCAGGCCGCTGGCAAGGACATGAATGTTGGGTTTTCTTAGAGTCCTTCATAAGTACATGTGCCTGTTAGTCTTCTCCTTTAGGGCTACATTGGGCTAGATTATTGATATCAAAGAAGGTATTCATGTGTAAACCCATCTCTCAATGATTCCAAAAACACCTGAGCTAGGTGGAGGTCCACATGTGTCTGGGTGTGTGTAGGAGGTGGTATTCTTTGGGCTCGTAGAGCAGGCCAAGATCAGGAAGCAGCTCAGGGGATTCAAAAACGTGGGCGTCAGCTTCAGAAACACCCAAGGGAACCACACTCCACCCTTTACAAGCTGCATGGCCGTGGGGGTGTTATTTAGTCTCTGAGTCTCTGAGATGCAATTTCCCCATCTGTACAAAAGAGGGTGTCACTTCCTCTGATCTCACACATTGTCTAAGGACTACCCCCAGACGGTTACCAGCACTCCCTGAGCTGGTCATTGATCCCTCCCACGCACCAGGCCCTGGTTTCGGGGCTTTGCTTGGATGCTCTCATGGGAGCCACTCAACAAGCTCAGGAAGTGAGACTCTCCCCAGCCCGCGAGTCAGGCACTGAACTTCCTCCAGCAAGAAAGAGCAGAGCCAGGGTGCAAACACAGCATTCGGATTTCAGGGCCCTCCATGCCAGCCAAAACACGGCTCTTCTTCCCGCAGAGTCTGTGAGCAAATGTTCCATTTCCTTCTTATTCCTGTCTCTTAAGGCCTTCACAGACACCTCTTGAGGGGACCCAAGACTAACCTTTCAAATGGGTGCCTCCTGTAGACTATTTGGTCACAAAGTCCTGGGCATCAGAGCCACGATTCTTCTTCTTCTTCTAGGGAAAGCAGAAGGCATGTGGGAAGGATTAGGACTGTTTCCATCAGGCCCTGACTACGAGCACACGTGAAAAGACAGTCACTTGCTACTGAGTAGAAGGTGCTCTTCAAGAGAGATTCTTGAAGCCTACATTCCCGACAACCCCCTGACAGACACCCTGGCCAACCTCAGAGTCCATCTCAGAGTCCAGTCTCCCCTGAGGCCCCTGTCACACGACCCTTCCTTCTCACACAGAGTCAGGGCCAAACAGCTCAGCACCTCATCACACTCAGGTGTGTTTTGCCAAAACTCACGCTGATATAGCACAAGAGTGCCCTGTTACTTGCGATACTGGGGCTACGATGACTGCAAAATGAGTCAGACACAGAAACAGCTTCTTCCAAAAGTTTTCAAATTGAGTAGACAACGATAATGTGAATTCCACGAAGAGATTCAAGAACACAGAGAAAGAGTCCAGTTTAAGGACTGAGAAAAGCCGGGGCATTTAATACAGGCCTTAGACAAGTACTGACTTGTGGGCTGCTCTGGAGGCAGCAGTGGAGACAAGGCTCAAAATAAGAGCTGGGGGTGTCCTGGAGCAGGCCCTGACTGCAACTGGGTTGGGTCTGGTGTGGACCATGGGGAACGTGTGAAGATTTTTTCAGTCAAGGTCTGAGCTGTAATTAAGGAACTAATGATTTGGTAGATTAGGGAAGAGGGTGAGTAGAGGTTGGATATCAGTTCACAGGTTGTTTTATTAGTTCACTGAAAGGGCATGAGCCAAGGTCACAACACTGAGAATGGGAAGGAAAGCTCAGAGGCTTCTTAGCTCTGGGGGAAAGAAACCATGTCAAATTCGTGTCATGTTCCTTCCTCTGGCCCCAGAACCCTGGCTAATTCTGCAGCAGGTGCTGAGTTCTAGTAGATTCCTAGTTTGGGAGTGCTTTGCCCCACCCCAGCTGAGAGCTGCTTCTGATGGAAACAGGTTACACACAGATGGTTGGGGACGTAAGAAAGGCTGGGAGTCATTGCATGTCACCTTGAGCATAATACAGAGGGCAGAGAACTCTCGGATGTTAACTTCTAAGAAAAAAAAGTCCTTCTTAAATTTAGTGAGAGTCAATGTGCTACTTATATGGTTACAAAATAGCAAGTGCTTTTAAGCTCGAAGCAAAAGAGACAAAAATACACGAAAGACTTAACAATAGAATTTAGGTTGCAATGGTAAACAGTTTTGGATCAGAATTAAATTTTCAACTTAAAGGTAAATTCTGACTTTGTAAAACCAAGATTATTCTAAAAATAAGCCTTCTGGGAAACTTTAGTCTCAATATTTCCTTGAAAAGTAAGATATACTAGGTTTGAATATTGACTTTGAGTAACACTAAAACTGTATGGTACAAGAAAGGTTCTGGAAGCATCGCTCAGGTCCCCGGTACCCAGCAGCCCATCAGCGGCAGGAGAGCAGAGCAGTGAGGCTCTGTCCGGACTCCAGAGCTCAGCCCTGTCCTGAGTGTTCTCAGCTACAGACACTAATGTGCCTGTTTCATGGGTTGCTATGAGGAGTGAGGGAGGTATTTTTTGTAAAGCAGTTAGAAGGGTGCCTCCACAATGCCATATAATTATAACTGTAATAACTAGATTTATAAAATGGCATTTGTTTTTCATTAAAAAAAGAAAAAAACCATCATCACTCTTGAACTATCTATTCACCTCAGGTACCAGCAGATGGATGGATACAAAAGGTGATTTTACTTGTTGTTACATGGTTTAAAAAATATTCTTAAACTTTTTAAACTGTACAATGTCATTAATTATCTGCTGTGGTTTCTATACTATCCTACCATGTCAAAGTGTATTTGGACACCAATAAGCTTGGATAAAAATACATTGGTGGAAAATTGGCTCAAAATAGGTTGGTAACCCTAATAAGCAGTTTATGTAGTCTGGATGAGGTACCCACTAGGTAATAAGTCTATTTTTACTTGACATCAGTACCAATTATCAAGGAAAGGTATATTCAGACACAAATAAAACTTAGTGCCGATGCTGAATTTAGAAGTAAAGTTAATTTCAATAAAAACTGGATGTGGAAAAAGTGAGTACCGAAGGCATAGTCATTCCAAGGTTTGTTGGTCAGTGAAAAAGTTCCATTCCAAAAACCTCAGGAAACGGAGAGGATGAGGAGCAAAGGTGGAAGAAACAAAAACGTATCAAACCCATGCTATACTAGGGCAGGGCACCAGCCACCCTAACTGATGGGCACGTCAGACAGGTCCCTGGTGGGCCCAAAGGTTTGCATGGCATCTTGCCTGTATGTGCATCTTGCCAGTTGAACATCCTAGATGTTCAGTAAAGTTACTTGGGCATTGCACATCTGTTTCTGTGTTAATTATATAATCCACAATCATTTGGATGGAGACAACACGAAGGAGGCCAAGAAGCCAGTCAGGAGGCTGCAGTCATTCAGGGAGGCATGTCCCAGGCCACGGTAACCATGGGAATGGAGAGAAACACACAGGTTCCAGAGGTAATTAGGGGATATCATGTACAGAACATGGAGGTAAATTAAACATGAGATGGGGGATTGCGGGAGAGGAAGGAAACAAAGAAGATGCGCGGGGGCTGGCTGAGACCGCTCCAGGGCATCCTTCCCTAGGAGGATCGCTGATGGTGAGGCGAGGTGCGGGGAGATGAGATTAGTTTAGGGGTGGGAAGATCCAGGTGGAAACATCTAGTACACAGATGGACATACGGTTCTGCAGCTTAGGAAAGATACCTTTGCCAAAGAGGCAGATGAGGAAGTTGGAATATGAACATCTGGTAATTAAGGCGATGAGAGTAGATGAAGATTTCATTGTAAGAAGTTATTACAGAGAGTGGGCTAGGTTATTCACCATACTCAGTCTGTAGTCTAAGAGTCTCCTACACAAAGACTTGTATAGATATCTGGACCAAGCTGAGTATTAGATAATTCTAACAGATTCAAGTTATCTAATAACTAGATTCGGTGCCCAGAGCAGACCAAGCCAGGTGAGCACAGTATTTAGAATGCTGAATTCTGTTTTAAGGAGGCATATTTCTCCTGAATGAATATTACTATATATTCTCCAGAACTTTATATGTTTATAGGTTATATGTCTGTATGTATGTGCACATAAGACAATGAATTAATTCATTTTATAATGGATACAACAATTTAATAATAAACAGTTGTGCTGAAAATACTCTATTAAACAACAAATACATTATTTTTAAAATGTAAACTGCCCAAAAAAGCATTTTAAGGCCAGGTGCAGTGGCTCACGCCTGTAATCCCAGCACTATGAGAGGCCGAGGTGGGTGGATCACGAGGTCGGGGTTTGAGACCAGCCTGACTAATATGGTGAAACTCTGTCTCTACTAAAATTACAAAATTAGCCAGGCATGGTGGTGTACACCTGTAATCCCAGCTGCTTGGGAGGCTGCGGTAGGAGAATCACTTGAACCCGGGAGGTGGAGGTGGCAGTGAGCTGAGATCGCACCATTGCACTCCAGTTTAGGCAACAAGAGTGAAACTCTGCCTCAAAATAAATAAATAAATAAATACAAATAAATAATTTTTTTAAAAAATGCATTTTAAGTAATTTAATACCCACACAAGATTTGTAGTCCGTGAGAAAAGGAATGAGAAAGAACCTTATTTAAGGTTAAGGTGACTCTAGCATCTGATCTTCAAAAGACAGGCAGACAGGAGGAAAAGAGGAAGAGTAAGAAGCCGTGGTCACCTGGGCATTGAGTCTGGAGTGGAGCTTGTGGTCTGACAACCAGGGGTGCTTGAGCGCTTCGCTTGCACTTATTCGCCAACTAGAGGGAAATTCAGACGGTGATTAGTAGAAACACATCAAAGAAGGCCTGCATCTGCTGTTCAATTTCAGCTCCAGCCTCTGCCTTTGGGAGACCAGATGGCCGAATGTCAAGCTCATGGTCAATTCTGCCTTCTCTTGAATTGTGTGCTATCAGTGATGGCATAGGTGACTATCAAATCCAATCAGGAAAACATTAGTAAAGACAAACAAGGCAAATAATGAAAATCCTTGTTAATAACTGAACACTTACTTTCAAATATAAGTAACCATTTCTGTAATATAACATCTGAACTTAGTAAAGTGGATTCCTATCAGTCAGTTAAAAGATAAATATATATTTATTATTGTAAGAGCAAAATGCTACAATGGTTCTTGATGATTGCCAAAGCAGTTTACGTATTAAAACTTTTGAATAATAAATATTACTAACTTTTGAATTAAGAAGTTTTGAGTTAAATAGATAGGGAAATAGAGTCGATGTAATTATTAAGAGAGGGACCATTAGATACTTTTACAAAGAAACAATATCCTTTTGGAGCTAGCAAAGGTTTATACAATTTTGGGAAATAATATAAAGAAGAATAATATAGATTTACTATATTCGAATTCTAAGCTCTATAAATTTGTTTGATGTGCTAAGATTTATCACGTTAAAACAAATAACCTTTCAAAATAAAAACTGTAGGCCAGGTGCAATGGCTCACGCCTGTAATCCCAGCACTTTGGGAGGCTGAGGCGGGCGGATCATGAAGTCAGGAATTCAAGACCAGTCTGGCCAACATAGTGAAACCCCGTCTCCACTAAAAATACAAAAAATTAGCTGGGTGTGGTGGGGCACACCTGTAATCCCAGCTACTCAGGAGGGTGAGGCGGGAGAATCACCTGAACCCAGGAGGTGGAGGTTGCAGTGAGCCAAGATCGTGCCATTACACTCCAGCCTAGGTGACACTGTGAGATTCCGTCTCAAAAAAAAAAAAAAAAAAAATTTGTAAGTGAATGCAACAGTCTGAAGTCAAAGAGGTAGTTCCAAGCAGTAATGAAGCTTCAGTGTGTAGGATTGCTTCAATGCAATCGCTTCATCAGACACCAAAATATTTAAGTATAAGATTTGAAAAGGAGATAAGTCTTTATTACCGTCAATGAACTTGGTGACAACATCACCATTATAGTGCCAAAAACAGGCAGAGGTAATTTTTAAAAATCTCTTGACTTCCACCAACCGCAGTTGGAAGTGTGGTTCTGCTTTAGTGTCAAACATTTTCAGCTCTGGATCTCCAGAGCCTTCCAATGGCTGACCAAGGTGAAAAATGATGATTCTGCACTCTAGGGTCGAACTTCTTAAATCTGGCTATTAAAAAGTTAGCAATAACATTGTACTAATAATTAAACTTTTAATAACATTTCAAGTTTATTTTTGTACCCCAGAAATTTATTCTATGATAGTGGTGTTTGGCTTTTGGCTTTAGTTTCATCCAAGCATTGACTGGAATTCTAAGCTTGTTGCCATCGGCCCAGATGGGTATCTGATGCTCCTTGGGCATTCATGAAGCCCTCAGACTGAAGGAGTGAGCAGCACTGGAGCCCACTGGGTCCACCTCTGCATCTGCTCTGAGCTGGCCATGTGAATGCAGCTGCTCTCAGCCTCAGTTTCCCCATCTGTAAAATGATGGTCTCCACAGACCACAGGATTATCCAGAAGCCAAATAAGATAACACACAAAAGTACATGTGTAAAACAGGTTCACAGTAAATGTGGATTTCTCGTCCTCCGAAGATTTGAAAGCGTTGACAGTTTCCATCTGTTCACTGCCTTGGGAAGGGTAATGTGCTAATAATAATAACCCTGGCTGTTATTGTGCTTTTCCATCAAGGTTATTATTATTATTAATCCACTATTTGTGAATTGTCCCTCTTGTCTGACTGATACTCCTAGCCTGGCTAGGTTCTATTCATTCTCTAGGGACTCAGTTCTGGCCTTATCTTTGTGTTAACCACATTTTATTACATCTTTTAAAAAAATACCCATCCTTTTTATTAGATGGTGAGTTACTGTAGGTAGGGACTGGATGTGCATCTATTCTTAACACATGACACATTTCCTGGCACACAGTAGGTGATTGACACTTGAATGAAGGCATCTCTTGCCAGGCTCTGTGCCAGACCCCCTGCCTACACTGTTTCCCCACTCCCTGTGACACCCTCCTACCTGTTGATCCATGGCCATGTGTATCGTGACTTTAAAGCCATAAAGATAATAAAACGGTAAGACAAATGCTGTTGGTCCTGAAAGTCTTAACAGATTCAGTCATTATATGGCTCAGGTAGAAAGCCATCTGCAACAGAGTGTTTGATGGGTTAATCACAATGCCCTTCTCCCTCTCTGATTCTAAAACGCAAATCCCTATATTCCAGTGTCACTCTTTTCATCCACTGAATTTTGAATTAATGTGGTTTCAGCATAACAGAAAATAGAGGCCCATGTAATAGATAACAGCCAAGTGTGTGGCCGTCGGGGAAGGAGAACTATCTGTTTGAGCCTCCGTTCTGCCAATTACTGGTGGTGTGATCATGGGCAAACCACCATAGTAGGTTCTCAAATGAAGTGGTAGTTAAAGATTCAGCTACACAGAACCATATACAGCTTTGTAGAGGTGAAAGGAATCCTAGAAATACTTCTCCTAAGTCCTTCATTTTGACAGTGAGTCAACTGAGGCCCAGCAGGAGCCCATGGTTGGTACAGCTGCATGAAAAATGGCAGGAGGAGAAAGGTTTGTGTAGCTTCATGACCAAAGCAGTCCCAGACTGTAGTAGAGAGGGTCAAGAGGATCAAACCTCATTCTATCTGTGACTTTGCACGAGCATCACAGATGTTGGTGAGGGAATAAGTTCTAACAGCCCTGGTGGTACGCCCTGCTTCCTGATCATCCCTACCGTGCCCAGAGCACAGGACGAACTTGGGTTACCTCTTCTCCTTAATCAGAAGCTTGGAGATGAACTCCTTGGCCTCCTCTGAGGTGTCCTGAAATTCTTCATCCTCTAAGTCCCACCTGCAGGCCAGGATGTTGTTCAGCGTCTCGGCATCATTGTCACCCAGGAAAGGGGACAAACCGCTAAGTCTGGAGGACACAGGGTCCAGAGTGAGTATTTTTTAAACAGCCTCAATCCCTTTCCATACAGATTGCTTTTCTGGTTCTGCCATTCAAAGGTGAGAGAAGGAAAATAACGTAATCCGAAAGCATAATTTTATAATATATTATTGCAATCAAGAAAATGCTTGCCACTCCCACCCAATCCTAATTAAACAACTGTGGCAATAAAGACAGCAGCAACAGAATATGAATATGAATATCAGCTTCCTTTTTAAATCACTTTACAGTTCGCAAAGTGCTACTACATGCTCAGATGGCAAACGCCAGGCAGGTCATCTCTGAGGGGTGGGGCTAGCCTGAGTCACTTAGCAGATCAGGATATGAGCTTTCTTTTTTTTTTTTTTTTTGAGACGCAGTCTCGCTCTGTCACCAGGCTGGAGTGCAATGGCGTGATCTTGGCTCACTGTAACCTCCGCCTCCCGGGTTCACGTGATTCTCCTGCCTCAGCCTCCCGAGTAGCTAAGATTAGAGGCACACACCACCAAACCTGGCTAATTTTTGTATTTTTAGTAGAGACGGGGTTTCACCATGTTGGCAAAGATGGTCTCGATCTCTTGACCTCGTGATCTGCCCGCTTCAGCCTCCCAAAGTGCTGGGATTACAGGCATGAGCCACCGCGCCGGGCCATGTGAGCTCTTTAAATTATTTTTTGGTTTTTAGGTTGTGTCCTAGGAGTTACAGTGATTAATGAAGAGGACACACATTTACTTTTCCAAATGATGTACAGGGGAAGAATTCAGTCCTTTCACCCACAGGATTCAACAGAACCTAGAAAGCAACTGAGGATGGGACAGTGTTATTTATTTTTTACGGACCTCAATTGGGGCTTTTATTTAAAATGGCAAAACCTCAGAAAATAAGCATGGAGATGGAGAAGGGTCAGAGACGGGGAGAGCTACTCACAGCATATAGGCGATGACCCCCACACTCCACATGTCGGTTGGAAAGGAAACAAAGTCATAATTAACAACTTCAGGGGCTAGAAATTCTGGGGTTCCAAAGTTCACCTTCAGCTTCTCTCTGGGTTTGTATCTGCGATTTAAGAGACAAAGTGGGAGGATGGAAGTGTCAATCAAAAATCATGAACACTGAAATGATGCAGTCTATGAGACAAAGTAACTTCAGTCCTACAGCAAACTTCAACTAAACAAACATTAAAGGAACCCAAACAATGAAGAAAGGGTGTCAAAAACTTGTACAGCGGTCCCAGAAAATTTAAAAGTCAAAATTCATACTGGGAAACCGTAATAGGTTGAACCAGTTGTGGGAGAAGCCGCTGTGAATAATTAGAACATCTGAATTATAGAAGATGACAAGAGGAAACCTGATACAGTCATTGACACGGGGATGACTGGAGTAAGCCTGTATTAATGAATAAACAGAGTACTGCAATAATTTACAACATCCACTTTATACACATCGTCGATGTGCTGAATTGTCCACGTAAACTCTTTGTTCCCTGAAGAATCTTACATGTGCCAGAACCCTTTGCAATCTTGCTTACGTTAATATTTTTAAAGTAAATCTTCTCTGTACAGATGGAACAAATATGAAAGATGAGGACAAACACTTGCAAATGCTACATTAATGGCTTCTAATTTAATAAACTTCACTGCATTAGGTTTTAATTTTTTATACTTTTTACTGCATGCATTATAGAAACTTCTAAACACTCAAGTCTCAAATTTAGCAAGTTAAGGCCAAACATAATAATTTCTGTTAAATTAATTATAAATGAGATCATGAAACCAAGGAGCAGATCAGATATATGTTTGCAAAGAAAGGGCACCCATCATGTCCCCTACCTCCGTTCGTACACCTACGTCCAAATAGACATACCTTCTGGCCAATCCAAAATCAATAATTTTTATTTGCTTAGCATCCCGATTCACACACAGGATATTCTCAGGCTGCCAGGAGAAAGAGACACATTAGCAATGAAAACAACCATCATTCACTCAAATTGTCCTTGAACCACAACTAAAAATACAACGACGCTCAGAAAAAACGTATCAGGCCTCTCACTTCGGGGGGGCGGGCTTGTCCGTGTGGGCACTTTCTCCTTTAATTATGTGGTGGATGAGGTTGCGGGTATCCTGCCAACCCTGCATTACCCAGTCCTCTCCACGGCCTCACCGTTCACCCTGATGCCTGAGTTCAGGCAGAGGCCTTGAGGGGAGCAAGAAGAGGAGGCTGCTTCAGTCCTTCCCAAATGCACTGTGGAGGCCCACTCAGACCCGACATCTGCCCCTCTAAATTATTGAGTATGAATTTCCCCTTCTTGGAGAAATAGTTTTCCCAAGATTTATGAGTTCCAAGAGAACTGACCTGCTCCATTTAAACAGCCACACTGAACATGCACTGTACTGTGAACGTTCCGGCCTCCAGAGCTTCCCTTTGCTCAGCGCTTACGGGAAAGTCGCACGGGAGACGAGGGCTTTTCTCTCCAGTCACTCTTCGGTCTCGGCAGTTCTGAGGTTTTGCTGAGTTTGGTCTCAATGCCTAAATCCCCTGACTAAGTGTTCCCTTGGAGCTAGGCCCTGGTAAGGCCTTAGCCTGCTAACCTGACAGCCTTGGGGTGTAGGGGAGACAAGTAGGTTGTAGCGCAGCCTCAGTGCTCACAGAATGTCCGACCAGTGCACCTGATGTTTATTGGGGTCGAAAAACGGAGGTCTGGGGAAAGTAAGTGATTTGATTTAAAGTCAAGACCATTTATAAAAGAGAAAAAAAGTTTTCAAAGAGTTAAGAACCCTCAGTCCCAACTCTTTATGAGCTGGAGGGCACCAGCCCAGAAGGCGAATGCCCAGGATCCCATTCCTCAGCCTTTAGTGGGAGCAGGCTCCCCCTCCCCAACCTGTCCGGATGGAGAAGAGGTTCCAATGAGATCAGAAATTCAGAGACACATTATGAAATGACACAGCGTCTCCTTATCAATATTCAATAGTACATTTGGTTGGGTAGAATATCTTTGGAAGGCCTTTTCTAAAATATCTCTAAAACAGATGTTTGTAAGTCAAAGTCATTATAGAGAAGGGGTGTTATGTGAAACATTTGGTTTCGTGCTTAAATAACTGATTGATCATGTATAAAGCTGTCCAATTGTGAAGGAGTACTGCGGCATCAAAAAGTTTGCAGGATATAGAGAAACCGTTTTGAGGGCATTTCAAAAAGTTAGCCTTTTTATGATGATAAAATTAAAGAATGTTCATTGGATAAAATTTGCAAAACAGAAAAATATGAAACAGACTGTTTGTAAGTCACCTACAATCTCCTCCCACATAGTGACAATCATTCTTAATATTTTTGGCCCTTTTCCTTCCAAGGATCTTTCAGAAAAGCAGCTCCTTAATGACCCATCCAGCTGTCACCTTTTTTATGATCTTTGCATCCAAGCCATAACTAAAATTGCCCGCTGCAGGTCCTCAATCAATGTTACGAAGCCCCATATGGAGTCATTTGACTTACAATAGGTTTGCTCTTAGTTCCAGTTGCCAATCAAATCCCGTTAGGGATATCTGCAGAATATCTACAGTCAATGAAAATGCTCCGTGAAAGCATGTATTATCAAACCCAGCTCATAGCCAGGCTTTTGCTAATGATTTTTAACCTCTGACTTTGTCATTTTATAAACCACTTCCTCCTGCTCTCCTCCTGCTCAAAAGTGAATGGGAAAGGCAAGGCACATAAATCAAGACAGTGAGGGAAGCCAAGTTATAGGAAGAGAGGCCCATGGAAACCTATTTAAGGAGGCTAAATTTATTTAGCTATGCAATCCCTGGTGACATGCAATAGATGGGATGTTATATAGAATATATATTTTACCTTACTGTCATGCTGTGCAAACAGGGAAATGAGAAAATGACCAAGCCACACAAGATGTACTTTATGATACTTAGTCCCAACGTGGGACTTGATCAGGGTTATTGGGCCTAGGTCTTTCATTGGTTGTAACTAAGACTACGTGCAGTCCGATTCTAGGAATTTCATAGTGAGACATAATGAGAGCGGTAAAGAGGGAAGGGGCGATCAATAGGAGGAGAAAGAAAGGCGGCTTGGCTTCTGTGTGCTTTCCACCATTGGCAGGGGGGTGCCCGCCCCACCCTCTCTGCTCCTTAGCACTTCGGCCCCGTCCTTCCAACTGCCTTCTGCTCCCTTCTCCATAGGATTCCATTCCATGGGGCAGCAAACCCACAGAAAACAAGTCCCAAAGTCCGGAGCTTCCTGAGTGACTCGAGGAGCTGCCGGCGATTCTTGGAGACCTGGAAAGGTTGGCTGCTACTTAGGGAATTCTGAGTTAGCTAAAATCCTCTCACCTACTTGTCCTGACAAGAGGGATACCACACGGCTACCGCTGCAGTGCTGGTGGTGGTGGTGACTGTTTTAATTCTAAACTTTCAGGGAAACCATTGCCATATAGATTTCCTTAACGCAGGCAAATTACAAGAATCTGAATATTAGCCCCTGAAGATGGAACATGCAAATATTAGGGAGTGACAGAAGCTGAGAAGAAGGAGATGAGGGTAACAATTCAGATGCTTATTCATTTCTGAAGTGACTGTACCAGTTTCCCCAGCTGGCACAGAATAGCAGACAGGGCCCACTCACTGAGCAAGGGGTGGAAAGGATACAAAATCTCACAGGACACAAAACATCTTACCTTCAGGTCCAAGTGGAGAATGTACATCTGGTGCATGTGCCTTATGCCCTCACATATCTGCTTCATGAACAGGACGGTATCAAGTTCCGTCAGATTGTCGTTCTCATCGATGATGCGGTCAAACAGCTCCCCACCGTCCACGCTGCAGAGGGAACAGGAGCGAAGCCCTCAGTCCTGATTTCCTAACCACCACGTGCTTTTCTTGTAGTGACTTGGCGTGCAAGTTCTGCTACCTCTTCTGAAAGGTGTATGTGCAGTTATTTCTCTGCCTTCTTTGCTGTCTTACTTAGATGATTCTTACCTTGAAGGCCTGTATTTTATATACCTTCAATCTCACAAATGGAAATCCTCAAGCCAACCCTCCATCTTTTGTGTGTGTGTGTGTTTTTTTTTGAGACGGAGTCTCACTCTGTCACTCAGGCTGGAGTGCAGTGGTGGGATCTTGGCTCACTGCAAGCTCTGCCTCCCAGATTCAAGCGATTCTCATGCCTCAGTCTCCCAAGTAGCTGGGATTAGAGGCACACGCCACCATGCCCAGCTAATTTTTGTATTTTTAGTAGAGATGGGGTTTCACCGTGTTGGTCAGGCTGGTTTCGAACTCCTGACCTCAAGTGACCCACCAGTCTTGGCCTCCCAAAGTGCTGGGATTACAGGCATGAGCCACCGCACCTGCCCTCAAAGCCCCTTTATCCAGTGTCTTCAGCTCTGGGGTGAGCCCACATGTATCATGTTCTAAAGATGCTGAAGAGAAAGAGGACCCTAAGAACTCTGGGAGGGGAACTCCAAGCCCTGACTGAAGGTAGTCAGGGTCTCAGCCTTCTAACTCTCCAGTGATTCAGTGTGGCTGGTGCTAGACACAGTAATTTCCCTCATCCTCCGGGACACCTTCCAAGACCCTTCATGGATGCCTGAAACTGTGGATAGTACTGAACTCTGTATATACTATGTTATTTTCTATAGATACATAACTCTGATACAGTTTAATTCATAAATTAAGCACAGTAAGGGATTAACAACGATAACTAAGGGTAAAATAGAACAATGATGACAATATGCCAGCTGCACTATTCTTGTGCTTTGGGACCATTGTGAAGTAAAGTGAGAGTTCGTGAACACAAGCACTGCGATGCCTCCACAGTCGATCTGATGACCCAGTCGGCTACTAAGTGACTAACCGCAGGGAGTGGTGGAGACGCTGGACAAAGGGATGATTCACGTCCTGGGTGGGACCGAGCGGGATGGTGGGAGATTTCATCAGGCTACTCAGAACAGTGTGCAATTTAAAACCTGTTGATTGTTTACTTCTGGAATTTTCCACTTAATATTTTGGAGCCTAGGGTAACTGAGACCATAGAAAGTGAAAGTGTGGATAAGAGAGGACCATGAACCTATACTTTTTATTCAAAATGCCTGATTGCAGAATGAAAAACAAAACGGAATCACAATATCGATTCAGTGTTGGAATTGCAGTCGGCCCTCCCTATTCGTGGATTCTGTTTCCACAAGTTCAAACAATCGCAGATGAAAATGTTTGACCAAAAAACAATAAACATTGACAATACAACAACAAAAATAATACAAATTTTTTTAAAATACAGTATAACAACTGTATATGTGGCATTTACAGTTTATCAAGTATTATAAGTAGTCTAGAGATTATTTAAAGTACTCGGGGGGATGGGCATAGGTTATATGCAAAAGACTACACCATTTTACATCAGGAACTTGAGTGTCCTCTGGTTTTGGTATTTGCGGGGATCCTGGGACCCTCTCAGATTCCAAGTAATGACTGTACTCGGTTTCTAACTAACCAATCCTTATGTTTTTATAAAGGTGAGTTTAAATGGAAGCTTCTTAGCCCGAATCATCAACCGTTTTTGACATGTGAATATGGTGAAAGTAAGATATAGCTCAAAAACCACTTTCCTCCAGGTTGCCCTGGCTAGTATTTAAGCTTGATTTTTGACAAACAGCTTAGATACAAAGCTAGATCTACTTGGTCCCGCTACTTCTTATCAATAAAATCCCGTATGGAGATGCGTAATCCCAAGTCGTTTCCCTTTGAGAACTGATGAGATTGTGTGATCCACGCGAATCAGAGTCTGCGGGGACAAGCTTGGTTCTGGCCCCGCTGCAGCAGGACAGAGCTACTGACGCACAGTCATGGTCATGAGTGGGTCAGGGAGGGGCAGAGGGGATACGCACTACTCCATGACCAGGACAATGTCGTCCTTAGACTCAAAGGCATCGTACAGCTGGATGAGGTTCGCGTGGTCCAGCTGGTTCATGACGCTGATCTCGTTCTTCACCTCCTCCTGAGAACCAGGAAACAGTGCATTAGTGTGGCCAAGACAGGGCAGGGAGAGAGGGGACCACCTCCCACAGGCTGTACCTTGTCCTTCATGCCTCTGGTCTTGATGATTTTGGCTGCCAGCTTCAGACCTGTGGCCATCTCCTCACACTTGTGAACCTGGCCGAAACGCCCTCTGCCAAAAAAGAGGAAGCGGCGCAGCATGAGGCCCTGTGGTCAGCTGCCACGTAGACAGCACACAGTGGCCCCAGTATTTCTCCTGCTAAGTCTGGATGAGCAGCCCTATGAGGAGTTCTTTGCATAAACTTCTAGAACAGTATTTGTCAAGGTGTGGTCTGTGGGTCGCTTGCATCAGAATCACCTGGGAGCTGTAAAGAAAGTAGGTTTCAGCCAGGTGTGGTGGCTCACGCCTGTAATCCCAGCACTTTGGGAGGCCGAGGCGGGAGGATCACGAGGTCAGGAGATCGAGACCAGCCTGGTCAACATAATGAAACCCTGTCTCTACTAAAAATACAAAAAATTAGCCAGATGTGGTGGCACGTGCCTGTAATCCCAGCTACTTGGGAGGTTGAGGCAGGAGAATTACGTGAACCCAGAAGGCGGAGGTTGCAGTGAGCGGAGATCGCGCCATTGCACTCCAGCCCAGGTGACAGTGCAAGACTCCATCTCAAAAAAAAAAAAAAAAAAAGAATCCAGGATTCTGGGCCCTACCCCAGACCTCCTGAGGCAGGAATCCAGGGGTAGGCCCCAGAGTCTACATTTCAGCACATTTCTTGGGTGATTCATATGCACCCTAACATTTGAGAACCACTTTTACAGACAATGCAGAACCTTTCTAAATACATACAAATGTTAAAAGCTGGGCTTTGTCAGCATATGAACAAGAGAGCCCACCTTCAGATATATAAAATTATTTTTGAAAACTGCACATGTAACAGTACTGCATATATATCCATATAGTCAAGACTGCGTATTGCCCAGTCACCTATGAGCTTGAATATAATCGTAAGACAGCTTCTTACCTACATAATCACATACAGATGTGCACAGTTGCGAACAGTTTTAAATCTAATTTGCTTACTTTGATTTCTTATTTACTATAATAAGCTAGAACACGTGTCCCTGCTCTGCAATGGTGGATGTCACAGTCGGGAGTGAGGAACAGCTTCCCTAGCAACACAGTGAACCTGAGGCAAGCCCTATGACAAGGCAGAGGACTTCAACGATGAAAGTCATGGCAACGCTGGACAGATGCAGGAGCACTGACGGCCGCCACATCCCATCCTGAGGCTGCACACTCAGCACAGAGGCAGATGGATCTTGGAGAATGACACAGGATTACCATAAACATAGCCACGGGGTGACTTCAATTCCAATCTCTGTTCCAGATGGAGTCTCTATGGGAATACATGGATACAGGCCCAGGCACCTCTTAAGTGGCTGTTATGAAAATGTTTTGTTTTGTTTTTCCCTTCACTAGCAATGGCCCCAGAACCTCCTGAGCCAACAGTGGTGCCCATCACTGTCTGACTTCCCGGCTCCTTCAACCCTCTGACTCTTTCCCCTGATTTATTCTGCAAGGGCCCTGAAGGTTGAGGCCAACTCCCAGGATTCATGCTGGTTCAACACAGTGATAACCTTATGCTCATTGAACATGCCAAGCAGGGGTGATAGATACCCTCGAGGTCACAGGGCAGGAGATGAACCCCCAGGAAAATTCAGGGGCCTGCCCCTGTGGGCAGGTGTTTTGGGATCCAGTGATCCTTGGCATGTTGCAATATTTCTGCCAAAAGTAAAAGATAAATTGCTGCATCTTGAACCTCCTACCACTAAAAAGGAGGTGCAGCACTTGGTGATATCTGCATTTTGAAGGCATCCACGCACATTTGATCATGCTCCTCTAACTTATTTGCTAAGTGAATTATGGCTGCCAATTTTGGTGAAGCCCATAACAAGCACTGACGGGCAGCTGGTCTAGACTGCAGTACCAAAGAGAAGATCCCATGGTGCCCAAACAGACAGAAAGGAAGTTTCGAAGGAGCAGTTGACAAACCTTGACCAGAAAAACAGCACAAATCCTGGGAATTCTTTCAAAACTTCTTCTGCAAATAACTATTCTCGGTTAGAGAAATACTTGCTGGCTTGCCACTGATGTCCCTGAAGACCCAAATACCTCAGGCTTCCATGGCACCAGTTCATGCTGTGGAATTCCTGTCTCTCCCTCAGCCCTTCCCCGCAGTCTCATGGGGCATTCTATGAGATCAGCCAGATGAGGAAAGCAAAGTCCAGGTGGTTCCATTCGGCGGAGGGCAAAGAAATACAGAGTGGGAAGAGGAAGAAGGGACTTCACGAATATCAATGACTCCCTGAAGACCACTTGCAGAAGCCTGAGCTGCAGTAGCAATGCATGCTTTCTTTGTGTTGGTGAGTACATTTTGTATGCACACGTGCAGATGTTCTGCCTTCCTCTTCCTATTTTACACAGACATGCTGATGGCAGCAAACGTTATAATTTAGACTTTGAGTTACAAGATATCATAGGGGGGTTGTGAAAGAAGTAGAAGAAAGAAAGAACACCCTCTCCCCACCCCCAGCATGAAGCTGGTCCCTGATGGACTTTAATTTTCTTTCTGGCTTTTTTTCTTTTTTTTTTCTTTTTTTTTTTTGAGACAGAGTCTCACTCCATCACCAGGCTGGAGTGCAGGGGCCTGATCTCAGCTCACTGCAACCTCCGACTCCCTGGTTCAAGCGATTTTCCTGCCTCAGCCTCCTGAGTAGCTGGGGTTACAGGCATGTGCCACCACACTCAGCTAACTTTTGTATTTTCAATAGAGATGGAGTTTCACTATGTTGACCAGGATGGTCTCAAACTCCTGACCTCAAGTGATCTGCCCGCCTCGGTTTCCCAAAATGCTAGGATTACAGGCGTGAGTCACCACGCCCGGCCTTTAATCTTCCTTCTTTAGGGAGAATGTGCATTTAAATGTCCCTAAAATAAGTTATTTGCTGAGCAAAGTAATCAATTGAAATGGATAATAATAATTAATACAGTAACAACATAAATGAAAAACCAGCAGCAATGACAGAAAGACCTAATACAGGCCACCAGAACTACACGCTGTTGACTCATTTCTATGTTCTGTCTCCTGGAGGCTGCACTATGGCTTTGGACAGCTGGTCAACCTTCTGGTGACTCACAATGGGTTTTTCTTTCTTTTAGACATTACAACATGGGAAGTAAAGCAGATAATAAACGTGGAGTTTAGTCACCACATTAACCTTTCTGGCATCAGTGACAATTTTCAGAAATGGATACGGTTTCTTAAAATGTTTGTTTCTAACGTTTCTAGTTCTCAGGTCAAGACAGGCAGACATTTACGAAGTCATGTGGCCCCGTGTCTTTGCACACTCTCCTCTTTTGTTGAGAGAATGCTAATAATATTCAGCATGACTCACCCTCCTAGGATTTCTGTCTTGCTCACAGTATAGAAGCTGTTGACCGCTCCTTGCTTGGCTGTCACAATACGATGATCAAATGGGGCAGGAGGAGCCGGGATGTCAACTAGAAGGTGAGAGAAACAGAAGGGCCATCTGTCAAGCAGGCTGACCTCGTTAAGGCAGCAAGCCTGGGCCTCATAGTAAAAATGTGCTCATTTAATAATAAAATACAAGAAGCCATCTGTTTGATTCCTAATGATCCAGGGATATAAATTTCCACTTGAGATTATGAGCTGTGACTCATAAAGGTGATCCTGACACCTCTGAGAAACAGTGTCAGGGCGGCTCAATGGTTGTCCATACCATCTTCAAGATCACTTTTGGAAATGTTAAAATAGTTGAAAATTTCCAACCCAACACAGTCCAAACAGGTAATACTTCCAAGCCTGAGACCATTCAAATTCAAACGTGAGAAATTGTTTGATCCATTTTTTAAATGCATTACTGATATAATCCATTATTTTAATTAAAGCAGAGAGAAAAAAGAAAAATGAAACATTTCTTCATGTTATTGAAATGCTTGATATTATATATTACTTTCCAAAATGTCTTGGACTTTATTTAAGACACATTTAAGGCACAAAGATGAATTTTTCCTGGCTGGCTGGAAATAAAACACCCAATAAAACCAGGTAAGTGTGTATTCAACAGTGATCAAATTTCTCCCACTTTCTCCCCTTCCACCTTAAGTGTTTAAACGCTCGTCCACATCAGCAACAGCTCTAACATACAGAATTGCTCAGGGATATTCCTCCCAGTATTCTTTTACCTTTCCATGACTACTGCTGTTAAAATTGGCTTGCCGTGAACCTGCTCATTCTCTGCTAATTCATTTATTATGCAGCTACTGCATGCATACAATAAGAATACAAAGGGAGTTAAGTAACAGTTTTGCTTTCCAAAAAATCTACATTTATTTAACAAACGTTTCTTGAGCATCTACCTTGTTCCAGACACTCTGCCAAATGTTAGTATTTTTTTAAAATTCAGAATATAAATCTCTGGGAATCTGATTTGATATAGACATCACCTCTCACCGCGTAAATATGCTGAAAACTGAAGTCACGCGAGAAGCGTCTTGGTAACATTCACTGTTTCAGATTAATAAAAAGAGGGAGTTAAATACACAAGCGGCATCGAAATGGCGTTCTATCTCCTGCGGGCTGTTAGACTAAATGAAATTTAGTCTGCAGTGCTTGCTGGAAAAGGTTAAAGAGCCTTAAAAGGCCCGTACAAAAGCCACTTCCTACCCAAACGGGTGGCGCCATCTTGCCCTCGGGTCTTCATCCCCGCGGGCTCCCGAGGCGGCCCCGGGAGCGCCTCCGCTTGCCTGTGTCTTCTGACACGTGGGTTCTCCCCCGTGCCCACTGCGTCTACCCTGCGCTTTCGCTGCCCTCGTTGGCCAGGCGCCCTCTGCCACTCTACGCTGACTGCTGCCCGGACACTCGGGTCGGCATTCCAGAACACGGATCCTGCTGCGGAACCTCCCGGGATTCGTGGGGGTAGAAACGGCCCCTCTGCTGCTGACACTCCCGGAAAGTCAAGTCCAGTTGCAGCTCTCAAAGTTCCAAGAAGAAAATAGATGGTGAAAATTCTTAGAACGAAGACTTCTCTTAAAACAGTGTTTTGGTGCCAGGCGCGGTGGCTCCCGCCTGTAATCGCAGCACTTTGGGAGGCCGAGACGGGTGGATCACGAGGTCAGGAGATCGAGACCATCCTGGCTAACACAGTGAAACCCCATCTCTACTAAAAAAAATACAAAAAATTAGCCGGGCGTGGTGGCGGCGCCTGTAATTCCAGATACTCGGGAGGCTGAGGCAGGAGAAGGGCGG